TGGCGATCTACGAGGTGATGAAGATCAAGAAGGTCACCACCAGCTCCTACCACCCACAGACCAACGGCGGCACTGAACGCGTCAACCACACGATGGCCCAGATGCTTGCGGTGGTCGTCAACGAACAGCAAAACGATTGAGACATACATCTCCCGCACGTTGAGTTTGCCTACAACAATACCGTGAACCAGTCTACTGGATTAGCGCCAAACGAGATCCACATCGGACGCATCCCGCGACTCCCGCTTTCGGTCTTCGATCGTCCCACGGTAGGTGGTAATCAAAGCTTGGCCCGCGATCAACTCGAGTATTGCAACCTGGCTGTCGATCGCCAGCGCCGGGCCTACGAACTTGTCCGCGAGTACAACGCGCTGAAAATTTCGCGAGTCGAACGCCGAAATTCATCCCTGCTGGACGCCATCCACAAGCTCCCTCAGTTTACCGTTAGCGGGTGGGCTTGGGTGTACAACACGGCTGTTAAATTTTTCCACGATTGCCTAGAATCACTCGGGAATATATTGCGAGCGACTGACGTACCCCCTAATAACATACCTTATATCGTAATAAAGCTCTATTTCAGGCGGATCGTTTGATCGGAGCAGTTTTTTTTTTTTTTTGGTTGGCGAGAAAATGCATTTCCGTCGAGATTTTGCCAGATTTTGTTATGTTTTAGTAGTGCGTGTGTGTGTGATATCCACTTTTTTTTTTAAGACCGGTTTTGAGCGTATCACGCCGAGGGCTACGCGGCGACCCAACTCAACTTTGTATTCGCTGAGCTACAACGGAGAAATGGGCAAAAAGACTCATTCCAGCTGGTCCCAGAGTTATGTTTTTAATGGTGAAACCAACCGATCGATTTCGAAAAACTCGACGGATTCGGGCGAATTAGACCTGCACCCAGGACCGTTTTTTTTTTTTGCGAACAAAAATTTTCTGAAAGAGTTATGGGCGCCATCCGCAACTGACCGTCATGTTTTTTTTTTTGGGGGGGGATGGTGATGAACCATCCCCGGCTAAGGTCCCCTCGGTGTTTGCCATCGGGGTTGGGTTTTCGTCGCTTGGCAACGACGTTGTAAAACAAGCCAATTCACTTCGTGAACTCGGCAACCAGGTTACCGTTTTTTTTTTTTACCTCCGTTTTTTTTTTTGGCGGTAACCATAATGGTGGTCGAGTAGATCATGTTGTGCGGGGTGGAGAACCCTCACTCCGCGCAAGGGGGATGATCGCACCACGTTGTGTTAAAATGGTCAAGCACCCTCGAGGCAGTTACACAGTGCTTACAACTGTCTCTGGAAGTGAAAGCACCAGGAAATATATTAATTCATGCGCAGCTGTCATCCGTACGCAAGGAAGTAAGCACAAGATGCCGAAAACCCTCAGCAGGATGCAGCGCACCCTTCATGCGACTCGCCGAATATCTCACGGCGCTTCGCGCTTGGTGATGTGAGAGCCTGGTCCGGTGAGAACCCGGCGTGCTCCGTCCCGGCTTTGTAGGGATGCGAGGTCAATGGTCTAACGACTACGGCATGCACGACTATGAGTACTCCCCCCCCGGCTAAGGTCTGAAATTTTGAAGACATACTACCCCGTGGATGTAAATAGTGGATTCGTTTTTGTTTTTTGGACTGGTGTTGGCCGGGTTTCAACTCAATTCCGTTTTTTACCCAGGGAATTCGAAAAACGCAAAAACCCGGGGATGGTCCCAAAAAATCCCCGCTTTTCAAAAGTGGTCAGATCGATCTGAAAATTTCGGGTCAGGGTAATTTTGGGGTGGGGATTCCGAATCCGTGGTCGTTTTTTTTCAATTCCATTTTGGTCTTGAGCTACAGGCACATATTTGGCAGCATCATCTCGCTTTGAAGAAAATCAAATTATTTCAAGTTTTGTTCACATCTTCTCGGGTACCCCCCTCCCCCCGCACCCCCAAGTTGTACCCCAAACGGGCTTTGAACCCAACCTACTGCTCCACAAGCAAATGCAAGAAGCACACCACTTAAAAACCAGCCCACCGCCCGAAACGGGCAAAAATATTGGGCTCTTCCTTCCTACCAAGCTCTTCCCAAATCTTTGACGCAGCAGCAGATTCGCATTCTTGCCAATGTGTCCCAGTAATTCTCTTCATCTTGCATTCCTTCCTCCTACTCCCGAACTGTATCCCCCGGGAGTTATCTTCGTCTACGGGCGCTACTCCAGTGTCCATGATCACCGTTTCCTTCACTTCGCCCTTCTGCAATGCGGGAACGAGACGTGGGTACGTCTTGCTGACGTAGCACTGCTCATACTCGCAACGCTGGCATGCCGAGCAGAAGCACGACGCCAGCCGAGTCCTGAGCCTGTACGTCCGTTTCACCTTTCTGCAAGTCACGTCTTCCTCCCCCGACACCGGATGGTGCAACTCAGCCCCCTTGCCCTTCCATCTGCTCGCTACTGCACCCAACACCTTGAATTCCCGCAACCTGCTCTTCTCTTGACTCGACAAGCTACCCCGCCCCTCGCTCTTTCGTACCAGCTTGCAGTCATCTTCGCGCCCCTCGGTCGTGGTGAACCCATCCCACTTGGGAGTGTTTGCTCCCGCGAAGTGGTACATGTCTCGTGTGCCCTCTATGCCTGCCAGGACCGAATTTAGCCGATATATCTCCTTCTTGCCGATAAACTCGACCTGCACCCTCCGCATGCGGTACGGAGACCACTTCGCGAAATACCGCATACCCTCCTCCCCCTCGCTGCCTGCCTTCTCCCGAAAGAAGCTTCGCAAAAAGCTGACCACCCCGTCGGCCCCCATGATTCGCTTGCCAAATCTCTCCCTCCTCTTCATGGCGTTCTTTGCCACTCCGCCAATCCCATCATGGCAACCTTTGAAGTGAGATGTGGCCGCGAAGTGGTGGTCGATGAAGAAGCCGATTTGCCGCACGCTGTCGGTCAAGAAGCGGAAATTCCGCCTTCCCTTGTACTTCTTCCCGCATCCATCCGTGAACATGTGAATCCGGGGCGTCCGGCCTACTTACCGGGCGGCAGGTGTTGCTTCGCTCCCGTCGCCACGCAGATAGTAGTCCGCCATCCTAGCCAAGCCGTGCAGGTGGAAATCGCAGTCATGCGCCATGTCCTCAGATGCAAAGATCCATGTTTCCGTCACGTGCACCCTGCCACCCCCCACGTGCGTCTGCGGGTTGAAGTGTACGATGGCCACCATGAGCGTTGTCTGCGGGTAAACCGGCATCATCATGCTGATGAAGGATTGGTGGGTGTACTTATCGGCAAAGTCGGTCTCGATGACAAGGTCACCGTCCTGAAACGTCTCCAAGCAACGCCCGTGGCAGTGCCTTTGCCACTTGGCGATAGAGTGGTGAGCCATGTACAGCTTGGTGTGCTCTTTGAATGCCGACCAAAGATCGCAGAGCTTACCCTCCTTCGGCACGGTCTGGTTGGCGAGTTTCTTGGTCTTGATCTTGCCATCTGCTGATGTAGGCACAGTGATCACGTCCTCGAACATCTTCCACGCCACCGTCTGCTCGGAGTTCTCTAGCTTGCTGCAGATGGGAATGCCGTCAGCCCCCCCGAACCCACACTTCGCGCAGTCCAAAGCGTTGCACTCCGGTTTCCGCCCCATCCAACCGTCACCCTCCGGGTCCGCCGCCCGCAAGTCGACCTTGGGGCAGGCAATCGCATCGGAGAATGTGCCCAAGTGCTTCCACGTTTCCCGCCACCTGCTGCCGCCATCTGCGTTGCACCATCGACACCGGCATTCCCCGTGGCTGGTCATGTCGACATTGGCCAGGGCCTCGATGTATAGCACCTGCTGCGAGTGGATCTTGCACGCGCACTGCTCCATGGCAGGGAGGACCAGGCACTTGCACCGCGTCGAGAGGAAAAGGGTGCGTCCAGGGTCAGTGAAGTCGTCTCTCTGTCGCTCCTTAAAGCTCTTGTAGGACGCCCAGTTGAGAAACTTAGCGTACACCGCGTCGCCCCCGCCCGGCTCGGTGGGCTGCCATCGAGGGTGGCGGTGAGCTGTAGGAGAGTTACTCACCTTCCACATGTCGCGCTCAGCTGAGTTGCCATGTTGACGTGACACCTCGTCCGTGTGCCAGTACTGCCTCATCAACTCCAGCAGCTCTTCGCTGGCGGCATTGCTT